CTGTATGAAACAATAAAACTGAAGGGTTTATCAATCCTGGTTCAATGTTTGTTTGCTTCTCAAAGTACACATTGATAAGTTTCAATGTTTCAAAGCAAATACACGTGACATTTTAATTTTGAAGAGAGAAAAAATCTTGAAGATTCAGTGCAAGTGATTTTTTTAAAAAATGCTAACGTATTTGTGCATTGACAGGATCTCTTTAGAAAGGAGGCAAGGTTCTAGTTCAACAAAAATCACGGAACATCTCGCCTCCCGATGCTGTGGGTGCCTCATCGCTGGAGGTTTTCAAGAAACGATTGGACAGCCATCTGTCTGGATGGCATGAGGTCCGGAATGGCATGAGGTCTCCTGCCTTGGCCAGGGGGTTGGTTGGATTAGAAGACCTCCGAGGTCCCTTCCAACCCTATGAAGATTCTATCATTCTATGTGTGGTAGAAGATACCAGATAGTTCAAGTGAAATAAGTTTTAAAAAGCACTTGATTTACCATTTGTTCAAAATGTCATTTCACTTTAATAGCACAGAACTGTAATGTGGGAAGGGACTATAAGAGAAATCAAGTCCAACCCCCACCAAAGCAGGAAATCTACAGCTAAAGCATCCTTAGTTATCGAACTTGTTTAAAAATCTCAAATGGAACAGAATTTATAATATTCCAGAGTATTCCATTCCATTGTCAAAAAAACTCAAACTGTCAAGAAGTTCTTTCTAATATTTAGTCATGTTCTCCTTTCTTGTAACACAAAGCCAAGGTTTAAAACCTTCCCTGTGGAGCTGTACAAAACAAGCTTAAGAATCTTCAACATGACAGTCCTTGGTTATTTGAGAATGGCTGTCACATCACTCCTTAAGCTTCTATCCTCCAAGTTAAACGTACCCTCAATGATCCCTCACAGGGTTTAGTATCCAGACCAACGTTCCCTCTAATTTTCAGCCCTGCTGGGCAATGCTCCACCCCTCATGTTTGTGACTCTGCCCCCCATGTGGGGTTCCACCACAGCTGGAATCAAAGGTGCTGGAAACACTTGCTGTGGGTGCGTGAAGCAGGAGGAACACAGCGCGGAGGGGGCCACCACACTGCATGGTCATGCAGCCACACACCTTAGAGCAGAAGTCTTCAAACTACAGCCTGCGGGCCATATCTGGCCCGCCTTCCATTTTTTCCAGCCCATTCACTTCAGCCTGTGTGCCAGTGGGGGCCATGCGTGCGTGCATGCATGCAGGGGGCGTGCAAGTGGGCAACCATGCATACAGCTGGGTGGGGTGCATGCATGCGGGCATTTGTGGGGGGTGTGCGGACATTCCTTCAGCCCTCAAAAATGTTGAAAATATCCGATGTGGCCCACATGGTCAAATGTTCGGAGACCCCTGCCTTAGAGGGAACCTTGACCCAAATACATTCCAGCTTAATATTCACAGTTTTCTTGACAAGTTCATCAATGCAGAACAGAGTGTCACCCTTTTTCCCCTTGATCTGTACACTATACTTCTGTTGATGCATCGTATGAACCGCATTAACTCCTTTTAGCTATGGTATCATATTGCTGACTCATGTTTAAATTTATGGTCCACTAAAATTTCTAGATGATTTTCACACGTATTACTCTCAGGATAGGCATCATCCATCTTGCATTTGGACATCAGATTTAGGTGTATCCAGTCTGCCTAAATATAGACCTTTACATTTTTCCAAGACTCCTTTTATTTGTTTTGGCCCAGTTGGAGGCCTGTTATGGTTATTCTGGTTATTCTGAAGGTTTTACTTGTGGACTTGATTTTAAAATGGCAATGAGACCTAAAAGAAAAACAAACTCTTTTTAAATAAAAATTTTGTTTTACAGAATTGTCCATTTTTTGTTCTTTTTTGTTTCCTTTGTCAAGTCTGGAAATGTTAAAACCCTTCAACCTTCTATAAGCCAAAATTCTGTTGTTTTGTTACATTTGTAGAAGGCCAATGAGATAACTTCCAGCAACTTCTCACTGGCACTTATCAAAGAACCGATCAGATTTTCAGGTGCAAAGCCACCCACTGGCTTTATGTGCACCTGAAAATCTAATCAGGGGCATTTTAATTGCCAGCTAAAAGCTGATGGAAGTTAAACCATTTCCTTTCTGCAGGCATAACTAAAGAACATGTCTTATTTATAGCACTTATTAATAGCTGATAAATTACTGCAAGCAATTTTTAGTTAAGGACAAGACTTCAACTCAACAGAAAAACAGTTTTTTACTCACAACGATATAGAAAAATGCTAACTATTCATTACATATGTTAAAAAATTGGAAAAGCAAAGTACACAAAGGAGCTGTATTGGAGTTCTGCATTTCGTATTTAAAGAGTACCCAGTTATGGGGCAAGGAATCAAGACGGGGTAGGGGGGAACCCTGTCAGAAGAACTTGCAGTTTCTAATCCTCTTTGTCACTTGAAATGTACAAGAAATAAGTCTGTATTGTTTATTTGTCCTTCTGCTTTAAAAAAGAACTTATTTGCAAAAACTTCCTAGAACATGAAGAGTTGTGTCATCTCTACACAAAATCTTATACAGTGCTGGTATCATGTCAACAGAATAAAATATTTATTAAATAAAATTAAGATGTTTATTAAAAATTGATAGCTCAGTGGTTTACGTTAGCTGGCTGTGGAGCCTGAGGTTGGAGGTTCAATTCCCCTCTGTGCCTTCTTGGCAGGGGCTAGGACTCAAGGATCCATAAGGTCCCTTCCATCTCTGCAGTTCTAAGGTGATTATTACTATTATCAGGTTTGGAACATCGAACTTAAATAAAGACTGTTCTATGCTCTAGGAATCCTAGAGGTTGTTGCTGAACTCCACAATTCAGTGCCACACCTCCAGCACCACACCTCCAGTCATAAGTGTAATTCAGTACACTTTTTAGCATTTGTTAAATCAGCACAGGCCACAGCCAAGGCTTAGAACAAATCAGTCTTATGCAAGCTTCGTGCATACCATACGCCATTACTGCTTAATCTTGTGAACTGCAACAGCCCCTGCTAGTCTATTCCTGGATCTCTTAAGAAAGAAGACAGTCGTGTTAAAATCTTCCAGACAGAATGGTAGGAACCATTCCAGAATGGGAAGCGGAAGACTTTCGTTTACATTTTACCCTATAGTGACTGGCACACTTACAGCCGGGAATGTGATGTTTTAATTCCTATTTTCTTCTTTGTCACTCTGAGAATGGTTTTGGCACAGGGTAAGTCGTAAATATGAAGAATAAATGTAATCATGTCTTGATTAAATAGCGTTGTGATTAATTTTCATGACAGGGGGAGTGTGACAGGCAGAATGGAACTATTAAAGAAATAAAGTTTTTTGCTTCCCATCTGCTAATTGGAGAGATAGCCACGTTGAAAACATGAACAGTGTCCTAGGCTAAAGCAAACAGACGCCGCAACCCTAGATCAAAGATGCGCCAACTGTAGTAGGTTTGGGAATGTGAAGAATGTTCTCATGTTGGCAGCCGAACCTCCTGTGATTTCAGAGATCTGCCAGCAGAAGGACTGGCATGTACAATCGCTCTGCTGGCTACTATCAGACAAACTTAATCAGCTGAGTCAAACAAGGGGCAGAGAAAGAGCACCGTGTGCAGAAGCTGATTTATGGCAAATCCAAACCTGCCCCAGGTCCAAGGACATAGTCAAAATGCTGGCACTAAGTTAGGTCAAGGTGAGGGTAGGAATTTCCAACATCCCTAGAATGGAAGGCATTTGACTTCAGCACAGTTTGTGTGGATTCACCTTAATGCCATACTGAGTGTGGAGGTGACAGAATAGTAATTTCACTCTGGCTGAAAGTGTATACAAGGAGAATTACCGTAACACTACTGGCAACCACAGGTGCTTACAATAGTAATTTCACTCTGGCTGAAAGTGTATCCAAGGAGTATTAACACTACTGGCAACCACAGGTGCTTACCAAGATTTCGGGCAAGGGGTGCTGCTGTAGAGTAATTTTGTGCGCACAGAATTTGCCACTACAACGCATTGCACGTATCTATGTATACTACATGATGACCTGCTGTCAAATCCCCATTCAGCCATAGAAACTCAGAGGAGTTGTGCTGGAACTGGCAAAAAAACATTCCTTAAATATCTCACTTACCTTGAAAGCCCTATCCCAGTCACTATAAGGCGGGGTTTTTGACTTGATGGCATATAACACATGTATACTACAATAATACAGAAATTTGGGATTCAGGAAGAGGCAATCCTAAATCTTCCGTGTTGACAAACGCAGAAGAACTGGGTATTTTGGTATTTTTCCAGACAAGAGTCAGTCTTTGAAAACAAAATATATTTGGTGGAAATCTTTTGAGCATTTAAAAAAAAGAGTCGGTGTTCTTAGTTTTGAGTATAACCTGCACGTATCATAGGGAAGTTGTGAAGATGAACCACCCTAAGCTCATGGGGAAATGCTGGAATCATTATAAATATGATGAGATCAACCATGCTAATTGAAAAAAATGGCTTTTGATTTTCAGCCCTCTTGCACGGCGCTGCTTCATAGCCTCCCTCAGCAAACAAACAAACTCAATGGCTCTTTAAGTTGTTAGAGACACTGAAACGTATCTGTTTACCTGAATATACAGCAGGCAAAAACAATCAAGCCGTGATCCAGATGGAAGAAGATAACCGGGAGTCCACAACCTCCCGAGCACAGCTGTGTATGTTTATCCTTAATTTTCATATTGGGAAATACAGCTCCTCGATTTGCAAATAAACCACTACCATAATTTCCAACTCTTCCAACACGAAGAGGCTAAATATCCAATCAGATCATTTCTGCTAGTTCGGAAATTAAAGCAAGTAAGATGGGTTTGCTTTGCAAAGGATTTCGACATTTTGGATTGCACAAGGCAGCCACCTCCGCTTTCTTAGCCCTTTCACACTCTGAGTAGCCACCACAAACATCTCTCTCACACACACACACTCACTGTACTCTCTACTACAAAGCATTGCAACAACACCCATTACTCACTGAGAGGCTTAAGGATGCTACTACTTGTCTCGTCAGCATTTTCAGCATCGGATTTATCGGAGTTTTCTGAAATTTTCTCCTTTTCTTTCTTTTCCTTTGGCCTTCTTTTGTGTCGCCGCCGTCTTCTGTAACTTTTAGGCACATGAACCCCGATGTAGACCGTATGGTGACCTAGAAAAGACAAAACAGAGATGGCAAACCTTTTAAAACAACAGATCGCTTACATCAAATAAAATTCTCATATATTCTTCATGTAACTAATTCAAAAGCACAAGTTGGAATTTTTGGGGCTTCCGGCAGCCATTTTGTCCGCCAAACAGCTGATCATCAGAGCTTCGTTTTGCGAAGATCGGTAAGCGAAACGCTTACCGATCATCGCAAAGCGAATTTCTCCCTATCTAAAGCTCGTTGAGCGATAGCATTAGCGATCCAAAAAAACGGATCGCTATGCGATTTCATCGTTATACGGTGCGCTCGTTAAGCGAGGCTCCACTGTAATTCAAAAGCACAAGTTGGAGATTATTCTGCACACAACGGGACACACTAAACTGTTAACAGGCGGGATCGAAGGCAACATCACTGCAGCGCTCAGCACTGGAACGGCTTCATTCAACACAGGACTATCCATGACAAAGTCAGCAGAGTGACACGCTTCTCCCACTTTCCTTAGAACATCCAGTTAAACTTATTCACACCTCTGCCATTTTCATTAAATGTTCCTACTCCAATGAACAAAATTGTCTGGAAAGTGTGTGAAGAGATGCACAACATGATGGCACCACAAAATGACTAAATATGAGTAGGAATGGAGAACCAACTACTAGGCTGGCATTATTAGCGGCAGATTCATCTCCGGCCCCACTGTCCAGTTTCACCATAGTTTTAAAACTGAAATCTTGTTAATAGTACTCCACTGCAGAAGATATAGTTCACCCTTTAAACCATTCCAAACCTTTCTTGAGTCATGGCCTCCTTTTATATATTAGCCAAGTAACCTGCAAGGCTCGTAACATTGTACAGGAGGCAGCAACAAAAATCTTCCCAAAGAAAAGGAAATGCAATAA